TAACCCTTTGCAAGGCCCCAATCCCCATGCCCTTGGCCCTTGGGCAATGGGCTTGGGCCCCTCTTGCAAGTGGGCCCATGGTCTCATCACAATTCCCTCTAGAAATATGTGAAGTTTTGAAATTGATATAAATAAATCTATAAATATTTGAACTGGGAAATTCCTTAGTTACTTTAGTTGGTTCCGGAATGATATCAATGACATAAAAAATGACAATGACATTGGTTAAGTCTCAGCCATGTTTCCAGCTCTGCTCCTTTCACTTTCACCGTGTAACTCGTAATGTTAGAACTTTGATGTTCAAATGTTGACACTACTGTCAATTTTTTCACAACCAGAAATATGTTAAAATATCACAATCAAAAATGTTATTCACAAATAACCATCAATTGCAATGCAAATCCATTTCCATCTTCACTGCTGTGGCTTTGTTTACATACGGCTGGGTGGGCCTGCGGTGACGTCACACAACAACACAAGAACAATAAGAACACATGGTACATTTACTGTGACATCAAACAATGCAATATTTTGCTGCACCACAAATAAATAAAAGTAAATAATTATTAATGGAAAATATGTTGCTGGAACATTTTGAGAGACAGTGCCTAAGCCGAATACTATATTGTTGTTATTATAGTAAACATACCTACTAAACAATAAAGTAGTTCCTTTGATTGCCACTGCTGGTGCTGGCATCTGAATGCAGGTGTGCCACCTTTGTTTAGAATTCAAACAATTTGGATATCTTACTTCACCATAAGTTAATACATTTAAATAATTAGTAATGTAAAATATGTTGCTGGAACACTTTAGGAGACTGGACCTAAACAGAATACGATATTATTATATTATTAGTCAACATACTAAACAATAAAGTAGGTAGTTCATTTGATTGCAGCTGCTGGCGCTGGCATCTATATGTGAACCTTCTATGGGTAATTTTAATTCAACATGTAATTATGGCGATATAACTTCTATGATTAATTTGAATCATAAACATTTACCTGATGCAAGAAATTAGCAATCAATAATTCAAGGTTATTTTGTAAGTTTTGTACCAACCTAAGAATACATTAAGGGGAACGTCTAGGGTAAAATTTATCTCGGCTATTTACAGACGGATCACTCTGAAACTTGGTGCACATATGTAAAACAGAAATCTAAGACTTTTTTGTTTGTGAATATTTTGAAAAAATGAAAGAAAACGGGAAAATCTTAGAAAATGGACAAAAGGGGGTACCGTAGAAATCTATCTCCTCCTAGGATTTTCAAGCTAGAACATCGAGACACATATCATTCGATGCGTAAAGACCCTATCTAAACCTGAACACAGTGGTTTTTTGGATTTCTCATTTTTGTGGGTGTGGGAGCATTTTTTGTAAATTTTTTGAAAATTTTTTGATTTTTTGATGATATGATTTATTTCTCCAAAACGTATGATGGTTGTCACTAAAACATTCCTTTCTGTTTCAGGTATGTTTTTCATGATCTTATTTTTATAGTAAATTCACTTAACCCAATTAAAATGGTGTGAAATTACAAGCTGTCCTGTAAGCTTACAGATACAGAAAAATACTATAAGGCTGCTGATATGAAGCTTGCAGTGGACAAGGTTGTTATAAATGCTCAATGGCATGTTCATGGATATAGTAATATTGCATCAATAATACGGTAGTATCGCATCAATAATACGGTAATTAATGTATTTCGTAATATCATTTCAATAAAGGAAAAACGAGTGAAAATCACAGAAAATGTCATTTATTCTACCTCTACATCATCTACAATGAAAAAGGAGGACTTCAGAGTACTGTTAGTAATGAATGAGTACGCTCTGCATGCTTCAAATTTTTTAAAATGGAGTTTTATTCCAAGTGTTCCGAGTAGTCCCGTTTGACGGGGCTACTCAGGACACTCTTTTTTTTGCTTTGGCACCTTACGAATAGCATGGAATTTTTTTGGATAAGCAATGTGATAGCCCTTGCAAAGAGCTTTGAAATGAGCCTAAACTTGTTTATGAAATGTTTCATGGTAAGAAGTTATGAATGAAAAACTTTCAAAATTGTCCTGAGTAGCCCTGGTTGATGGTATTTCTTGCATCAGAGATAATTCAAAGTTTTTTAATGGTAACAGTATTATAATCCATGCAGAAAGATAAATTTTGTATATGCATATTAAAAGTTTAGGCTCTTTAGGACTCGTATAATATGGGATAGGATTTCAAATCTATGCATGCATTCAAATTCAAATAAGGCCTGCCCATGCCCAGTGCAGCTATCAGCTGAGCTGACAGTGAAACCACCTCTTTCTTCAGAAGTAAATAAGCTTTTGCCGGGGAAAGTGTGTTGTGCGGTGGGGCGCTCAGTCCGTAAAGAAGCGTGATTGGTTCAAAATGTCATAAGACCAGGTTCTTTTAAATAACCTATTTAATTACACCATGGTGCACTTCAAACCAAAACCTGCCATTTTAATGTTTGGTTGTGCTCTGTTAACTTCCTTTGCTCACATATATTTACCTACAATATGTTTTTTTACAATGGTTGAATAAGTCAAGCCTTCAAGAGACCTTGGTCTATTTCTAAAGATTTATGCAAAGCAGTCAAGTTAGGCCAGGTTGGAACAAGATTGAAAATTTTCTACTAACTGCTAAAATCTCACTGCTCCAAAGTGACTCATTTTTTATAACACTTCTCTTTACTTCACTTCTTGTCTGTTTGTTTGTCTATCTGTTGTCTGTCTGCTACAAAGCTTATAATCAAAATTTAACACACTTCAACTTATCCTACTGATCTGAAATTTTGCACACTTGTGTAAAGTTGGAGACAATGCATGAATCAAATGTCAGAATAAAAGATTTTAAAAATTAAAAAAAAATTCAATATTAAAAAAATTTGAAAAATAATTTTGTCAGCTACAAATCTTATAACTGATATCTGACACACTTTTACCTGTGTAATTGATCTGAAATTTTGCACACTTGCGTGAAGTCAGAGGCAATGCATGAATCAATTAATAGAATACCGTAATTAATTTTGAAAAAAAAAATTATATATTAAAAAATTTATATAATAAAAAAATTGAAAAATTAATTTTTTTAATTTGAAAATTAAATGAGAAATTCATTGTAGCCATGTATTTTTGTTTAATTGAAAATTTTGTATTGCACAAATATGGCATTGCAACAAAATTTATTAATATGCATATTAGTTCCCTTCTATATCTAAAGACTTCAAGCCAAAAAGGTCTTTATTAATGGTCTTTTAGTTGCATTCATGCTACTGGCTTCTTGCCCAAAATTTTAAGCACAAAATGTTTTTAATGGTTGTTTTGTTGGGATCATGCCAGATGGCTTACCAATGGCAATGAAGCCATGCATGTAGAATACATCTGTGACTTAAATTGAGACATTGTTTATTTCATGCTCTATTGCCTCTTAATGAGAATCAAGATGTTTTTGTTGATAATTTATGAAAATATCAGATCGGGCAAAACATATTCCATTTTAAACATTGACTTCCATGAAAGCGAATGTATCCATCTTCGATTTTATTCACCTCCACAAATTTGCTATTGATAATTGCATCATTATATAAAATGTATAAAAAAAATTTTTAAAGACCACGTTTTTCATGTGGACTCAAAAGTAGAAAATAATTTTACGGCAGCTACTGATCTCAGTTTGCTTTCATTCTCTTGGTCTTTTGTATTTCAGTTAAAATATTTTACATAGCTAGCGGGAAAGTTGGTGAAATGTCGATTGCAAGATTTGATCATCACAGACAGACAGACACGAAAGCGAGCTAAGAAAAACGTGGTAAAAAAATGTAAAAAGAGCTTCATTTATCAGTATTGTCAGAGTAAAAACTTGTGTTTATATTTCAGTTTTTTTTTTGCATTTACGTTGGTGATGCTTTGTATGGTATGATGGTCTGATATAATTGATGATTGGCAGAAGCCTGATAACACAGCCAATGAAATAGAAGCTGGGGGCTGTTATGGGTCTTTTTGGGCTTTTTGCAGTGAAAATAAATGTATAGTTAGTTAAATGTGGAAGGGTTAATACAGTTTCTTATTTTTTTCAAAAAAGAATGGATCCTTTTAGAGAATAGTAGAAAAATTACTCGTCTAACTGTGCCACTATGTTGTTCAATTAATATCAACATTAAGCTCTAATTTTATGACTAAGGCAAGTTGAACATCAACTTTCATACCGTAAAATGGGGTAACTTAGACCACTTTTTTTTCTATAAATGACGCCATTTTTTTACTAGCTAAATTAAACTTGAATTGAAACATGCAAAATACAGGTCTATACTCTAGCTTCACTCACCATAAATTGCTCTATTAGATATGCAAACTTTTCAAATCTTTCTATTGTGTTATGTAGCCTCAGTATTAGGCCTTTAATGCCCATTGACAAAATTTTTCTATGTCAAATAGTTTTTGAGTTGTGGGGGTTTTTGTTAAAAAAACGAAAAGTGGTCTAAGTTACCCCGCCGGTCTAAGTTACCCCATTTTACGGTATTTATTTTACCGTCCTTCTCAAGAAATTGAAGATTCAAAATCTAAACAATGTTTGTGAAATGAGTTTGTAAATGAAAATCTATAGTAGCTATTTTTTGCAATCTAGGGAACATTATGGTAAGCATGACTTTTTTTAATGAACATTTTAGAAAACAGAAAAAAACTGAGTGCTCCATGTGTAGACAAGTGAATGTAACATTTTGAATTGAAATTAAATACAGCTCAGGGCATGAATGAAAAAGGAATGGCAACTTTATTTCCTTTTGTTTTCTATTATGTTAATGCACAGAAAATACTGCAGAAGGATCATCTATTATTGTTATAGTCAGGATTTGATGAATAGATTTCTGGATATCAGAAATAATGGCCAAAGTAATATTAAGTTCTATGTACATGCTTGTATTTAATATTGTTTGTTAAAGATATCTTTTCATTTGTATGAACATTGTTGAAAATTTGTGTTATTTGTGCAGTGCAACCTGAGGAGGAGGAAGAAAGTGACAACAGTGATGAGGTCACTGTAACATCATCTATGAACTCTGATGAAGAAGGTAATTTTGTCTACAATTTGTAATTTAGAAACCAAGTATTAACATTGACAGACTATAATATGTTCTGGTTCTTTCTAAATTGCGTATAAATACACACATATGACACAATGAACTCTGATGAAGAAGGTACTGTAATTTTGTCCACATTATAATTTGAAAACCAAGTATCAACATTGACAGACAATAATATCTACAGTTTTTTTCTAAATTGTGCATAAAAACATTCATATTATACTATGAACTCCAATGAAAAAAGTAATGTTGTGCTATTATTAATATTAATCAATAAGGATTAATATTGACTGACAATCATATTTTCTGGTTTGTTCCAAATCTTGCATGTATGCATATTTTTCATGTACATACTAATTGTTTGTACAGAGGAACAAATTTCATCCGTGGAGAAGTTTGGGCTGATGGTGCGTCAAGGCATTGAATATGCTCAAGAGAAAAGTGCTCTGCAGCGAGTAAAGGGTCTTACACAGCTCAGACAAATACTTCAAACAAGGTTTATTTTGATCATATTTTGTTGCTGAATTTACCTTGTGAATAATCTTACGGTATATACTTTTTTGTGTTCCATTGTTCCTCGGAGTCTTAAATTTTTTGGTTAGATTTAGTTGCATTTCTTGATTGCTAACTGTGAATGTAGCACCTTGCAATTTAAGCATCAATTGATTTTTTAATGCTCTCTCTTCAATTGCATACTACGATGCTCAAAACTTCCTATTTGCTGTAAACTTTTTTGTTCACTCTCGGTATATATTCCTCCTGATCATATTCTTGATTTCTCAGGGCGGCCGAAGATTGTGAGCTGGACAATCTTCATGTGACAATTTGTGACTGCATTGAACGTTGCCTCAAGAGAGGGGCTGGCAATGCTGAGAAAGTTGCTGCAGTTCGTCTTGCATCCATGCTGATGATAACCTCCCTCAACCTCACAGACGGCCTCTCTGATGAGGTTTGTGTCGAAATTCAAGTTTTGAAGCGGTGATTTACTTTGTGAACATTGATTTATAAACGTATTTTTAATTCAATATGTCTGCTCTCTCAAAGGTTAGGGAATTTAAATTGTTCAAGTTTTAATGGAATTTATTAATATGGTAATTTATTGACTTATTCTCTCCTTCATTTATTATTTACCTGTTTTCTGAAACCTTGGCTCTCGAATATTCTTAATTACCAAGGCTTACATATTAATTACTTTCTATTTGATGTATCCTCAGTATTGCCTTAAAACAATTGTTTGATGTGCCTCAGATCTACCTGGTGCTACAACCACCACTGCTGAGCATCTGTCAAGATCCCACTGTGGCATTCGCTGTTAGAGAGGAAGCCTGCAAAGCTGCTGCTATGCTTGCTTATTTTGGGGCAGTGGAGTACACACATCTGCAAGACACCCTGAATTCCCTTCACAATGTCTTCTCCAAGGCATTGCCCAAAGTGAGCATGGTAGCAAATTTGCACTTAATTTGGGTTTCCATACTTGAAAAATTAGCCTTGTGTATAGCCGCAAGAAGTTTTCCCTTCTAGAATATAAATACATACCTTATAATTCTTTGCAGGTCTTTATTTAAACATCTTGAATGTTTGAATTAAAGATTATTCGGCTCTAACTACATTTTACTAGGTGTCATGGTCTGTTTGTATATCTAAGAATGTGTATATTTAAAATTTTCCTTGTTTGGTTGCGTGCAGGGTAATGGGGAGCTCCCGAACCTGCAAGCTCCTTGCCTCTTGATGCATTCGGCCGCCCTGCAAGGCTTCGTGCTGCTTCTGACGCTGGCGCACAAGGAAGACGTGTTAACCAGGACTCCATCATTGTTGGCCGAGCTCACGTCTGTGCTAGAGACCCGAGATCTGGAGATGAGAACTGAAGCTGGCGTTGGCGTTGCTATGCTCTTCGAGTTGGCGCGAGAATCGCCGGCGTTTGGCTTCAAGCGTGTCAATGAGTTGCTGAATGTTCTCAATGGTGAGTGTAATGTTGACCATTGTTCTAGTATCACTGATTTAATAAATGTTTGAGCTGGAGGTTCTTGTATCTGCAGTTATCGCACCGCTAGTGGTGTGCAAGTGCCTGCCAAGTAGGATGCTGAGACTTCCTGGATCAAGGATGATTTTCCGTTTGTTACATTATTTTTGCCAGCAAAATTATCATGTTACAGCTACCACGTATTGCCCACTCGGCCCAGCAACCCACCATTACACTTGAAAACTAACTTATTCAATGCACTAGTATTTATCACCATGAGTTGAACAGATGCCGTTAATGCTCCATACTAGAGGCTAATTTATATTTTTAAAGGTGTGTCATGACTACCTAGTCTAAAATGTTACATTTACACACAAAGTTTGGGAAACTCTGGTTTTGGCAGGAAGAATGTTTTTTATTGATCATATTTACTGCTTATAAGTTCCTAGATTGGTCTGAAGTTCGTGGCATCAAAGCAAAAAGATGATCAAATTAAAGATGTTAAAATGCGGTACAACTGAATTCTAAACTAACTTCATTTGTTCAGAGTTGGCCACTGACTCTCAGAAGCATCGTAGCAAGAAGGAACGCAAGACACAACGTGCTGTGTTCCGCACTATTGTCACCTCCATTGAAGAAGAGTCGCGACCTGCTGAGGCAGTTTACCTGGCACACAAGCGAGCTAAGGACACCATTGAGATCGACTCCTGGGCTGTCAAGTGCCGTTTTGATGCCGTGCTGCACGCTCTCGAGGGCGGCCTTAACGTCCACTTCATCCACAATCAGGGCGTGAGTCATATCGACTGCAATTTTGTATTGGTATTATTCATGGGAGACGCCTTTATTTCTATTTAAAACATGTGATGATGCCGTCTAACATGTGATGAAGGCATATTATTCTCAGCTCGTCCTATCACTGTATTCTAATTACTCTCTATTTTTTGTATGCTTGAACTATATAATTAAATAGTATTTAGAAAGATTGATTTTGTGCAGCTTCGCTCAAGCTTTGGTCTGGACGCCTGCCCTGCAGTGATGGAGCAAGAGTGTAAGGACGAGCGTAAGAACCGGCGTCGCCTTGCAGAACTCATGAGCAAAGAAAGGAATTTGCTACGCAACAAATGCAGAGATAATCGAGCTATCGCCGTTACCTACGATGACTGAATTTGCTCCTCTATTTTCCTCTTCCTTAATGATACACCTTAGGTTGCACTCTTCCGACCTGTTATTCTTGTGATCGTTGGTATTGCCTTCCTGTCGTTATTTTGCTTACTTGAAGTTGTCTTACTACGCTTTTGTAAATACTTAAATGCTGTAGATTAGCTTTATTGGTGTCTGTTTAGCGTCAAATTTATGGCCTTTAATTTGCAATTTAGTCATGGACTTGGTAATGCAGGCTTGTGTTACCTAACCATCAACCACATGATAATTGTACCGTAGCTCAACCTGTTCGCCCTAAGCTATTCAGGAATTTAAATTTGGTGGAGGCTAATCGTTAAAATAGTGTGCATTATCTATGCATTGATTGTATCCAACTATTTTGTCTCAATTTTTGTGTTTCAATGTGACCTGAAAATGACAACTTTGAAATTTAAGTGACATCAAAACTGGCACGTAACTTATTTTAATATGACAGTGGTATTATTCCTGAATTAATTACCAACTTCCATGGATAACTTAAAATACTTACTCAGAAATTAAAGTTTCTTATCTTGCTTGTTGAGTATAGTACTAGTTGCTTGTATTTGCATTTCTTGGGTTTTAGTTGCGTTTACAAGTTATTCTAAATCATTGACGTAAGGATTATATAATTTGCTTAAAGTGAAGAAACGTGGCTTCGTATGTAACGTTTATGTGGCGAAAAATTTATTCGGTGTGTGTGTGTGCTTGTGAAAAATAATTTCAGTGTCGGTAAAATCGTTTCTTTCTTATCACTTGCCGGATAAAATTTAGGGTTTTAATCTTGCAGCTTTGCAATTTCGTAGTAGAGAAGTTGCGCTGTGTGATTTTAACAACAAATTTTATAACTTATTCTGAACCTCACTATCTGTGATATACCATTTTTCAAATCTCTATTTTATGGGCAATCTCATATGCTGCACTATTTGCAGTATCAAACGAAGTCCAGATGCAACATGCTTGCTTGAGGCCAAAGCGCGGCTTCCGTGTTTTATCGTCTTCTCGCTTTCTGGGCTACGTTTCTGTTCTGCCTTTTTATTCGTAATATTGGATTCTTCTTGCGAACGTTTCTTGTTACTTGGGTGTGTCATCTCATCCGTGTAATAGCTTTGCCCGTGTGTAAATCTGGTTTTTGGTACTTCTTTCGAATGAACTACCCTTACATGTACAGAGAGTATGGTTTTGGTAGGCTAAGGATGCTCGGAAAATCTATAGTTTTTATGCGAAATTCGAGTTATACCACAAATATGTTGTGTACCAGGTCGCTCATTGTCTCAACTGATGATCATCTTCTAGCGCATTCAGTACTATTGAATTGTTCCTTGCGATTCATTTGGAATCTTTCTTATTCCCCCGTTGCCATCGTTCCTATCAACAGCACTGAAGGGCCTGAATCTTCATGCAAAACCTTCTTGCATCAGATTGCTCATTACACGTATTCACTCGACACTTTTCATCTTGGGTGATAGGTATTTTTGTCCCTTTGCACAAAGGCTCCATGGTAACGTATTTCCTCTTTCTATTGTTGCGACCACCGTAACAATACAACAATATACCTACTCACAAATTTCTTGCTCACTAATTGCTTCATTCGTTGTTCTAGTCTTGTTTTGTTAGTGAAATTGAATTTCAATTGTATATCACTAATTCTATAAATAATTGTTCTATCGTTCAGTGCTTTGTAGTACACATTCAAGTGCTGGAATGCGACGTTTGTTTTTAGAATGCCGATTTTAAGCTTTCAAGCGGTCGAGAATCCTTATTCACGTCATGGACGTAGAAATTACTGGACACCATATTTCTGCTGAAAAATTACAGTACATTTTTTTCAGAAATTCGAGAAAATTTGGTTTGTCACGCGCATCCGCTCGTGCTGGTCGCTGGTAAGGCGTGCGCTCGTTTCTACGTCCGTGTTCAGTATTTTGTCTCAATTTAGGTACAGTTTATCATGTTGTGTTGGTTTTCTATAGCACGTTTGAGCATATCATATTGCCACATATATTGTAAAAGCTGAAAGGCATCATTTACGTTTGGGAGTTGTAGTTTCTATTGTAGTTGCTTGTGAACATTCACTTGAGTATAAATTTGTGCGTGATCTATTGAATTTGACAATTCAATAGTTTCCGCAGTTGAATTTAGAGATTAGAAATAAATTCAGTCTAATACTTATCGTTGAATTGCGCGTTTGCAACGCTTCTGTGTTGATAATAAAGTTCTCTGCTAATAACTGTGGTTTTCTTCGTCACAAAACAGATATGCTGTCTGTCACGGTTACAAAACTTGCAGCGATCTGGAGTTTCTTCTCTTTTTGTTTACCGGGCAAGATTTCCGTGTAGAAATTCTTTTAATTATTGTTTATACGCTATTAGTGCCAAGAAATACAATGACAATGAAGATATGAGTACTAATACTCTCGTATTAGTGCAAGAAATACCAGACAGTGTATAATTTTATGAAAGGATTTGATCATTGCTAGTAGTGATAATCTTACTTCAGTCCTCGTGGTCTAGCTAGAAGGTGGCTGTCTTGCCGCAGTGCGCTGTTCCTCCCGTTGCAATGACTCCTGTTCAGAAATATAATGTCTTAATGGTCATTCATTATAAAATTACCGTAATTTTTCTTGGTTATTTATAAAGTCTAGTTAAATGTAAATCTGTTCTGAACATGCAGTAAATAGGTTAAGCCTGAAAATGTATTTATTGTGTTATGGACTCGTTAGCTGCTTATCCTATGTAGGAATGATCGATTTTCTACTGAATTCCACTCACCCGAGTTCCAAATACCAATAACGGTGACGATGGTTAATGTACCTGTAGGCACGTATTTCGCACGCATGAACTGAACATGTTGATGCTTTGTGGCATTGGCTTTGTACTGGAGTCACTGTGAAGGAGGAAAGCTTGGGGCTTTACTGTGACACGCCCCCGGCTGTACAGTCACAAAAGTAACTGCTAGAGATTTTATTGCTTTGGAATGGTGTTGCATCGTGGGTATAAAAATCGTTGTGGTGCCTCGAATGATTTTACAAGATATATTTTCAAAAAATTGTTAGTTTTACGTATTCATTGTTGACCGTCAAGTAGTGTGCACTGTGCAGCTGTGAAAGATTGCTGCTTGAATTAGTCATCTGTTATTAGCTCCAATTCATCAACATTGAGGCATGTGATTTCATCAGATTTCTCTTCTGCTCATAAATTATACTGCTTTTATTTTTATGCTAATTAATTATCGCAACATTTGGACGATCGTGATAGCGCTAAGACAATGCAAGCGTGTGCAAACATCAGTTGGATCTTCATCGAGGCTGGCCCGACGCTAGCCGCTCGCTGTCTCGCCGCTAAAAAGGCCGGGTTTTCTGTGGTCGAGAGCGACTGGCCTCAGGGTAATTTGCCTGCAGAAACGTACCGAGCCGCACTCGACGAGGCAGGACTGCAGGCCATCCTACTTAATTGCTACCAAGGTAAGAATTTACTATTATGCCTCTATAATTGGCGAGAATCTGTAGTTTTTTATTCGATAGATTGCTACAGTTAGTGTAGACTGCGTAACGAAGTTCTTTTTAATCCGTGAACAGTGGCTGTATCTATCATGATGATGATTACGACTGTACTTACTTTGTTGGCATTACGTCAATGCAACAAGGGCTGGGTTTTGGGATCACCGCCTTGCTATAAATTTTAATGGTACCTTCCTATCTTGTGTACTGACGGTAACAACAAATCTCGACAACCTCAGTTGTGAAATATAAAATAGGCGGCGTCGCGTGCTCGGTGCTAAGCAGGCGGCGCTGTCATGTCGCCAACTAGCGCAGGTTCTTACAAGTTACAATCGCACTAATTAAGACATCGATATTAAATGGTCATCATATTAGGTTTAGCTACTACATTAATGCAATAAAAAGCGGTTTTTCGTTTCACAGTTGGGTGAAGGAGATCTAGCCATAATTGACTGCTAGTAAACCGTTTTACCCTTGAAAGATTTACATGGAAATCGTAACCGCAATGTGACAGTCCCGAATGAAAAATATTTCAGCAGCTTTGCCGGTTGGAGAAAAGACTTGTCCTCAAACGTCTTCATGTCACCGAAATTTGAAGAATCGTGTGGTCACCAAAATTTTTAAAAGGACAAAAATTTAGTAGAGAGTGTTCAAAGACGCGCAACAAGGATAGTTCCGGGCTTGAAAGGCAAGTCCTATGAGGAAAGATTAAAGATTATGAAGCTTCCAAGCCTCCATTATCGACGTCTGCGTGGGGACCTCATTGAAGTATACATAGACGAAGCTATCCAGGAGCATATGTTCAGTCTTAAAATGCCTAGCAAATTACGGAGCAGGCAATAAGTCCAGCAGCTATCTCAATCAATCGTCAGTTATGGAAAGATCGGGTTCCAAAGGCCGGATCCCTTGTGAATCAAGTCACGAAAAGTTCAAGAATCGGCAACAGGCCATGGGCCTATGTCTTGAACGCCGACACTCCTATTCTATTCTATATCAAACCATAGTGATGTCGGTGCAGAAGAATAGGCCTGATGTGGCCTGTCGCCGATTCTTGTACATTTCGTGACTTGTCCATAGGGATCTAAAAACAGGTCCTTAGACCTGATCTTGCATTTTAGTGCGATATCGCAATAAGATTGTGAACTGATTCGAGCAATGTAATAGACGATTGACAAAAATCTGATTACTCTTCTTTTTTCGCTGAGAACTGTTAATACCGTCCAAGCTCCATTGCCACTTCAGTGCTGCACGAGAGAGTTACACTACCTACAACAAACTGTTCAAGAAATAAGTCTGCTGCTTGGGGAGCAATGTGGGAGGTCGAATTCATGCCGATTTCCGCACGGAGTTGAATAATAATTTGACGAAAAATGAATTTGAAACGCCCTAAAAGTGTTTCTAATGTTTGAACCAGGAGGCTTGTTTTTCAGAACAGCAATATGTCAAACAGTAATAACCAAAAATTTATGTTAGTGGAAACGGTAACAACCAATCAAAGTTTCTTCGTCAATCTGTCCAAAAATCCAGTGATTCGTCCACGAATGACTCCCTTTTTTAATAATTATTCAATTTTAACTGTCCAAGTGCTTTCACTGAACGAACCAGACCGTTTCCAATGAATTGAAATTTCATCTCAGCGTTGAATTAATCCGGTAAAACCTTTCTGATCAGATGATTAATTTTTAGCGCATTTTCTCATTTATGGAAAAAAGGCGCTATTGTGCTCGTCATGTCCGTCCGTCTGTCTGTCCGTGTCCACGTTTTCGTCGACGAGAAAATGCGCTCTCTGTCACTCACTGCAGTGAGTACTGAGTTAAATTTTTTTAGCGTTGGTGACAACTGTTGAAAATGACAACCGTGAGCAGGCGACACGAGTGCGGGCGAGTGTGGCTTCACAGCAGAGCCGGGACACGAGGACCGCTACAAGGAGAGTCTGGACATAACCCTTCAATATGCCAGGACCATCGGGGCAAAAAAGTATGTGTTGATATTAAAGTTAATTCTGGATCTGATAAAATCTATGGACGTTGCACCCCATGAGATTTGTAAAATATGCACAGTTGGATTCTTAAACTGTGTAGAAAACGGAAAATTGTGTCGAATGCAATCAGAAGGCTCTGTTATTCATAATCACCTTGAATATTTCTGAGGTTTACATCTGATCGTAAATTTAGGAGACCTTGATCTTCATTCCAATCATTTTGCTCATGATGAAATTAATGGTTGGGTTTTACTGACACGCAGCCAATTTACCGTGTAGTATTAAATAGACGGTGTTTTGAGACTGTGAACACCAGCGATATTGTCTAGCAGCTTTTATTCCATTTTTAGCATTTGAAATTTTTACTATTACATGATCGTTTTGATAAATTCAATGTGTGTCTTTGTTTGTGCGCTTTTGCATATTTTTTCCTGCATGACTTGTAATATGAAAACGTATTCGAAAGGATCCATCTTCTGAGCGGGCGAGATTTGAGCAGCCAAGGCGTGACCAAAGCTGAGCAGGAAAAAACTCTTATTAAAAACCTGCAGGAATCTTTGCCAGCCCTACAGCAGGCTAACGTCATCGCCCTCATCGAACCCATCAACTCGTTTTCAAAGCCAGGATATTTTCTGAATAACTTTGAGACAGGTTTGTTGAATTCCGATTTATATTGGTACATAAAACTTACCTACCAGCTCATTAGGCAGTTGTGAAATCTTTGAGTTTACAAATGGATTACGAATTTTGCACCTCACCTGCAGATGCAGTAACTTGTTGTCCAGCTCTTTAACCAATACTTGGCGTATAGAAATAAAAATCAATTGATATTGGCAGAAATAGTCTATAGGATGGAGGTAGAAGCATGTGAATGTGGATTTTTGACCTATTTTCTATTTCGTTCACTTTTCCTTGTGTCTATCAGCATGCCGCGTGATTTCATCAGTCGGCAGCCCGTTAGTGAAGATGCAACTCGACTTATTCCACCTACAAATGACAGAAGGCAACCTCGTCAACAATATCAAGAAGTTTCTTCCGTTCACCGGCAAGTTCTTAAAAAATATACAATATTGTATACCAGAGGATAGCATAGGCATTAATTTTGACGATGTTTCGACAATTATTTCAACATTCTATGATAGAAACTAATTTATTATCTGACACAGCATGTATAGAATTTCGCAATTATTGACTTTGCAATTCCGATGTTAAATTCAAGTAATTTGCTCTTTTTTAAAATCATTTTTGGTCCCTATTCGTCGGAAGCAGGTCACGTTCAAGTGGCACAGGCACCTCATCGTCATGAACCTTCAATGGCTGGTGAAGTAAACTACAAGTACGTTCTGGAGCAACTCTACATTGCCGGTCAGTAAAGAAAATATGATTCGTATAACTGATATAAGGTGAAATTATATTAAATGAAAAACAAGCATCTACTCAACATTGCTTTAAAGAAAATATTTCATATGAGGTGAAATTAAATTAAATGAACAACAAGCATCTACTCAACATTGCTCTCAACACGTACTACTGTGAGAATTTGTAACAAACCTTGTTCCAAAATTTTACTAAACGCTATTGTTAGAATACACATGTTAAGTTAGGAATAGACAAGTTCAAGAATATAAGTTACATGACGTTTATATTTCGTTGCAGGATACAGAGGGCACATAGGGTGCGAGTATAAGCCATCCGTCACCTCAGAATCTTCGCTGGGCTGGATCAAGGAGTGGGGCTTGCATTTTTAAAACCATATTCTCAATAATTTGTGTTGCGGATTTACAAAATATGTCATTATTGTTGTTGGTATTAAAATACTGTCCATGATTAGAATTTACTAATTAAACAAGATGTATTTATGATTTTGTCAATTTACTAGTCGTTTTATGTTTCAAAAACATTCCCAGCCATATTTTTGGCTCTAGTTAACACTGAATAGTTTTCAAACGAATACGTTAGAAACGGTCAATGTAGCATCCATAAAAAAGCATAAATCATATTTAAAACATAAAATTTACTGTTTATGACTGACATAAAGAATGCATGAGATTAATTAAGATCATGAGGACCTTGATCACCGCCAAGCACATGAGGCAGGCAGGGTACAGTAGTCTTATGAACATTCTATGCATAAGAGCATCAGCTTCTGCTACAAAAACGATAAATTTAATCTCTCTACACATAACGCAGAATTGTATGGATGAAAGCCTAATGGATAGTTTAACGTTCATGGAACATACGGTGTATTATCTCAATTTATCTGGAAAAGACTTTCCTAGAGGTACTGTCCTCCATAATTAACAGAACAGCTAACCTCATAATTAAATAAAAAGGCCTGCTAGTGTTCAACAAATATATAGGGGCAACATAACAAAACATGAGATCAAACAAACGCCAGGAGGCTACTGGCTCACAATCCCAATAAGTGATATGATTGAAATGTCTGTCAGTGGATGTAATTTTTTGTTAAGAATAGGTGAGCTGCTAATTGCAGGCAGAATAATAGAGGTTCATGGAACTATAAACTCTATTCTAGTGGGAAACATTAAATTGTCCTACGATTGGAGCACTAGCAATTATACGCAAACTTAGAGCTGCGTAGATTCCATTAAAAACTGGATGGCAAAACAATTGAAGCACTGATAATTACTAGCGAACTCTTAGAGCTAAGTAGATGTCAATAATCGGCATCCAAGATACAAGAAGATAATGGCATCATGAAACCCTCATCGGTGTGAGGGGACGACAGTCTCCCCCCGGCGTCGCTTGTTCACGGGGTGGCGTGGGTCGTCGAGCGCGTACCACGAGTCGTCTTTGGTGCTGGCGTCCTTAGCAAGCACCGGGGCGTTGTCCTCGAACACCATCTTGTGGCGAATCCTGACATGTGCACGTATAATGAGAATATGATTTAGTTTATTTAAATACTATATATTAATACTATCTATACTATATACTGGCACCGGCGCGCTGTCCTCGAACACCACCTTGTGGCGATTCCTGACATGCGCACGTATAATGAGAATATGATCTACTTTATTTAAATATGGTACTATATATTAATACTATCTCTATTGTATTCAGAGTGTACGATAGATAGCCAGAGTGTACGTTGTGATTAAATATCGTTGCATTCGTATGTATAATAACGCAGAAAATATACCTAATAAAAGCTAGGGTACGGAATAAAGGTATAGTCTTACGTTTATTCACTAGTATAAATAATATAATCAGAATACTACGAAAACTATTTACTTGGATTAAAAATGTATTTAATAGTCGTACCGATAGAACATTCATGAATTTTTTCTGAAGGCTACAAATAGAATATAAATGCGTGCTGAGATTGAACCTCAGAAAACTACGACTGTCGACCCACTAGATCTAAACACGACATCGTTAGTATATATAGCAATAATCTATTCGATAGATTAAATATAAATCCTATGATGCAATTAGTGAATGATAGAATATTAAAATATATTAGTACTATGCAGTGAAAAGAATGGAAGACAATGAGTATAATCAATAAATTCATCAATGTGATTTAACTATAATTTGAGAATATGAAAAAAACCTCACCAGCCATCACCGTCTTCATTCTCGTCATCATCGTCTCCTTTGAACTTTTCTTCTGCTTTGCTGTCATCGTCGTCTGCGACTTGGGCAGTCTTGACTTTCTTTGAGAATTTTTCAACTAAAAGCATAGTAATGTTTTCCCTTTCACTTCTTTTCTTCGAAAAGTTCTTCTTCTGGTCCATAAACCTGCAATATGGGCCTCCGTATTAAAGGTTTTACACGAGTGACTTGAATCCACAAAAAAATACTTGATTACCGGTGATTTTGTAAGCAAATAATGGTAGTTATAATGGTAACTGTTGACAAAATATTAATAAATTCTTGCATGTGAACTAAAACTAAATGAACCAAGTTAATTAAGTTCAGCCACAAGAATCTCACGACTCAAGAAACAGATGGTCAAATGCATTCAGCCTATGTTTGTTCAAATACATACAAGAAACCTGAGGGGAAAAAATTATTTTTTAAATTTTTCAAATTGAAAATTTTTTTGAAATTTTTAAAATTATAAATTCTGTCAATTGATTCATGCATTGTCTCCGACTTTACGCAAGTTTGCAAAATTTTATACGGATTGGAGAGGTAGAAGTGTGTTGAAAATCGATTACAAGATTTGTAGCAGACAGACAAACAAACAGACAAACAAGAAGTGAAGTTAAAGAGAAGTGTTGTAATAAAAAGTGGAACCATACATCTGTTTTTGCTGCAGGTACTCCTGCACCGCACTTGTCTTGCCGTCTCTTCCCTTTAACTCGCGCTTCAGTTGCTTGATCTCGGCTCGCACGGCCGATCTGCAGAAAGTTGATATACACATATTATGTAGCACGTTTTCTCCAAGTTATTTCAATGGGACATATTTAGTAGAAGGTTCTATCTAAGTTATTTCAAAGGCGTATTCAGTAGCACGTTTTCTCCAAGTTATTTCAAAGGTACATATTTAGTAGGAGGTTTTATCTAAGTTATTTCAAAGGCGTATTCAGTAGCACGTTTTCTCCAAGTTATTTCAAAGTTACATATTTAGTAGGAGATTCTATCTAAATAATTTCAAAGGCGTATTCAGTAGCACGTTTTCTCCAAGTTGTTTCAAAGGTACCTACATATTTAGAAGCAGGTTTTATCTAAGTTATTTCAAAAGCGAATACAAATTTCATGGTCCGAAAAAAATACTTGGACACAAAATGCAATCTAATGAATCATGCTACGAGCAGAAAAACTTTAAAATGATGTACCGTAATCTTTCCATAGGTAGTAGGTATCCATAAAGATTAACAGTTATTTGGCAAATTAGGTAACATATTAATAATGTCAAAGTTTTTTAACACTGAACAACACCATTATGAATAACTCACACATTTTTGGCCTTCTCTTCATCCATTTCTTGTAGAGAAGCTTCATTCTTTGCAGAAGCTTTTGAAAGGTCAGGTTTTATGCCACTAACATCAACCAATTCATTTGCTTCCTTCAATTCCTTACTTGATGCTGACTGGTCATTTTCGCGTATCCTATCACTGTCATTTGTATGTTTTGACTTAAGGGGTTTATCAATTCTTTTTTCAGATTCAGGGTCCTTATTATTCTTCTCACGATTCGTTTTCCGTTTATATTCTTCATCGTGTGAGATATTCCCTTTTCTCTTTTCCTTTAGGCTGTCAGACTCTCCATTATTTTTCTGATCAATGCTAGCTGTTGTATCCATCTGACTTCCATGGTGGTTTTCTTTAGCACCTTCTCCATCATCACAGTCATCAGAACTAGCGACAGTTTTGTTCATCAATGCAAGTTCTTTACTCTTAGAATAGTCTTCAGAGAGCTGTCGTAACCGATCTAGAATCCTGAAAGTGAAAAAAACTCTTAAACCTGTGACTACTAGATCTACTAGATCATACACTCATCTTTTCTGTGTCTCCTCGGACATGAATCAACAACTGAAAGAATAGAGTTGTTTTCTTTGCTGCTGCCAAAATATATATAACTGCACATGAATTAAATTATGAATTCCAAAACTTTTTTCCATTACTGCTGCTAACTGAACTTGTCTGTGCAAGAATCATCTACAAGAGGAAAGCTCACTTCTGTGTGGTGTTGGTGGTCTCCTTGGAGTTCCCAGGTGCCTCAACTAGCGAAGGTTCCGAACCTCCTGACCCGCCTATTGCTTTAGTGGCTGATATAACCTCAGCCTCATCTTCTTCAGCTTCTCCTCCAAATGACAACAAAGAAAAGTTCCTGCCCATATAAAAAACTGATCAATACGACTTTCTATATTTTCAAAGCAACACATGTTACACAAAAACTTATAAATTTAGAAAGATCTACATCATTACATTGCATAAAATTATTATGTTGAAAAAAATTATTACATTGAGGAAAACTATTAGTTGGCTCAGAAAAACTTTCCCTTAAATTAAAAAACTGTACTCACTTGACACCTTTTTTCTTCTTCTTTCTTTCCTCTTTGGGGATTTCATTAGCTATGGTTTCCCTAGGAACTATGTCAGGAAAGGGATTTAACAGCACCTCAGTCTTGATAATCGAGTGAGGGTAGACTGGTCGGTCATTCTGCATGCAAGAAAAATTTACTTTGATTCACTGCCCATAGCAGCACGTTTTCTGTCCCTAATTTATAATTGTGAGTAGTTCTTAACGATATTGTACTAAGGAATTTGCTAGAAATGTTTTTTTAATACTAAATTTCTATGAAATGTATCTGCATTCTGCACAACACTAATAATATCTACAGACAAGCATTGTTACAGAAAATAATCATATGGTGATACCAGTATATCATATTAAATATAAATGGTATAAATTAAAAAAAAGTTTTCTTCAATCATTCAAATGTAAGCTAAATTCACCTTGCCAATATCTCCTTCTTCGAAACGTGGTAAATTGTACAAAGTGTCTCCAGCAACCTTACCAAAAATTGTGTGCTTGTTATTGAGTTCCTTGCAGGGCCCTGTCAAAAGTGGTTTATTCCAATAAAAATTTACTGTGGATAAGAAGTAATTAAACAATTGCAAATCACCTAGAAACTTAAGAACATGAGTATGATGATAAAATAGATAGCAAATCATTCAAAACATTTCTACCAAAATAATTAGTAAATTAGTTTGCTGTGGAAAAGAACAAAATATTGTTGCAATACACATTTGTAGTTGGCATAAATTTCAAGATATATTTATTTTGGTGATTTGGTCATTCATATCACTCACCCAGAGTGAAGAAGAATTGGGAAGAATTATCATTTGCTCCAGCATTGGCCATAGCCACAAGACCACGCCTGACAAACCGGAGACGTGAGTGGAATTCATCCTATGAGAAATGATTTCGTTAGAAAATAGAACCAAAATAAAAACTTGAGATTTATACTTATTGGCTGGCAATAACTGTTAACAAATTATGAATATATGTTCAGTTTTTAACAGTTTAGAATTCAATATTATGTAAAATATATATATATATTTATATACAATGTAAAAGGAAAAGTACTCGTTTAAAATCACAGATGTATTCATGTGTGGAAATTAATTTTTCAATTAAATGTTTTCTATAAACAGAAAATGTCAATGGAATAATAAAATATTTCAATGTCCGATGATATTCCCACATAAAAATAGTAAGTTAACAAAGAAACTTTAAACGCATGGTAAAAAAATGAAGTTTACCTTGAATGGCTTTCCATATATACTTGCTCCACCTTCACCAGTACCTAGAGGATCTCCTCCTTGCACAATGAAGCCAGGAATAACACGGTGAAAAACTGTCTTGTTGTAATAGCCTTCAAGGCAGAGCTGGACAAAGTTACGACAAGCTAAAGGTGCCTCCTTGGACCACAGTTCAATTTCAATCTCTCCAGCACTAGTAGTCAGAAGGACCTGTCAAGAAAATCAAAAGTTAGCTAATATAACACAGCAACAAAATAAATACTTATTGCAGGTTAACAAAAAACATAAAGGCATAGACAATGCCAAGTAAATTCACACTATCTGTATCTAAAGTGTTACTGATACTGGCTCCATCAGTCAGAACTCAGATGTAGAGAATTTGAGGTTATTCCATATAGAATAGACAAATTTACAATGAACAGACCTAGTGTAGTTTGTTAAAAGGAAAACGAGACCTAGTTGCACATTCAAGCCACAAGATTTTAAAATAGGCTAAACGCGGTATGTTCCGAAATCGTAGGTAATTCCGTCACCTCTCCAGCTTTTCCTTTATATTAAGCTTTGTTTTAGTTCCATGCGTTTGTTGATGGTTGAAATGGTGACGTCATGCATTTGTCTCTTATACACATCTAGATGTGTATAAGAGACAGAAGTTATTTCAAAGGCGTATTCAGTAGCACGTTTTCTCCAAGTTATTTCAAAGTTACATATTTAGTAGGAGATTCTATCTAAATAATTTCAAAGGCGTATTCAGTAGCACGTTTTCTCCAAGTTGTTTCAAAGGTACCTACATATTTAGAAGCAGGTTTTATCTAAGTTATTTCAAAAGCGAATACAAATTTCATGGTCCGAAAAAAATACTTGGACACAAAATGCAATCTAATGAATCATGCTACGAGCAGAAAAACTTTAAAATGATGTACCGTAATCTTTCCATAGGTAGTAGGTATCCATANTAGAATCAGTTCATTTTGAATTTCCTCATTTACTCAAGATTTAAACCAATTTCTTAAGTATGATAATGCTGGTATCCAGGATACTTTACTGGTCTACTTATAGGACTCAAAAATGAACTTGAGGGAGAGTCTAAAAAACTCTCTGCTTTGCCACTATGATTAGTGACGGAATATAGGGATTTGGTAGGTTTCCATTCTAAAGGCTTTTTAATAAATATGGCAACATTTTGTGACGTTTCATTGTTGCTGACGCGTAGTGAAGTGTTTTGAGAGTCATGTGAAGGCAACAAAACTTACGTAACACATACGGTTTTTTTAATAGTTTTTCATTTCTCGATGCGTCCTTAATGTGTCCGAATATACCACATTTACCCTAGTTGAAAATCAGTCCCCTTTAGGCTTTGGCCCTTTCCCTTTGTGGCTTGAGCCACAAGAATTTTCATTAATGATTAGGAATTTTTTAATCTTGGGTCATAGAAAGCATTTGGTGATTGGTTCTATGAAGAGATTGGTTCTATGTCCAAGTAAAATTTAGAAATGAGCAGTACAAATATTAATTCAGAGAAGAACAGAACACAGGATAACCTCACAACTGAGCAATGAGCATGATGCACAATTGAGCACTTAACATAATTAGTACTAACCTTTCCTTCTGTAGGAGGCTCTTGAATATAAATGTTACTCATGACTTCTAAGTTCTCTGAGAACTATCAACTATTGAGTATTGATGTTGGAAGTTCGAAACTTTGAAATGAACTGTGCATTCAAATTCAAGCCCAAGGTTATAAGGAAAATTGGTAATGCACAGCAGTCAGTACACTGAGTAGTGAGTACAGTACTAATAGCCAAATAGGTATTATTGCCTACTCTTACTCACTAGGACTGCACATAGTTAAGACTTAAGAAACTTGGCTGCTACTGCTAGTTTGAATATACATTTTCATGATTTTGGTAAAAAGCAGTATTGTAAGCATAAAAAACGGTAGTTACATTAAAACACAAGGCCTTTTGCCAGTTCCGACAATTGAAATTAAAAATGTGTATTAATCCTTATTTCTTGATGAGATATCTGGTTTTTGAGGTTTAAGGGTACTGACTAAAACCCGGACCCAGACCGGTCCGCCGGACCCGGACCGAGTGACTAAAACCAGGACCCGGACTGGTCCGGCGGACGAGGTTAAAAAAAAAATAAAAGGCTGCAAATCATCTGGAACGTCGAGAAAACTTTTAATTTTACATATAAATTTTGTATATTTGCTTAGAAAAATTTCGTCGCATCAACATATGAGGGCCACAGAAAAGTTCATTTTTCGATCAAACTAATGGATAGAGAATGTTCTGAAACGTCCAGAAGACATAAAACTTTTGTATCGAATTTTTCTAAATCTACTTAGAAAAATTTCATGTCTGGTCGGGGAGCCCCGGACCAAGTGACGAAAACCCGGACCCGGACCCATGTATTCAGTTTAATAATTAATAATAACGTGCAGTAGTTAGTCCTACGATAATAAATTATTTGTTGTCTTTATTGAAGTCTGGCTGGAGCTGCATTGACGAAATGTCAAGTGAAGCGATGCTATAGCATGGTACTGAGGATATATATCATCATATCTTTATGTCTGTATATTATAACACCATTAAGCTTTCCCTTTCATCAACACTAATCAAGAGGTTGACAACAGGAAAATGGTTCCAATGGCCACGTTGACTAGAACTAAATATTACTCAAGGATTTTTTTGTTTCGGAAGCAAGAAATGAATAATATTGAACGTTCCTATGCGGTATGGCATAGTAAGGCTGTATGGGAGAGTGGCCCGCGTATTTGTTCACATCGCGCAGCCTCGGTCTTGCATGGGTACTTGACTAATTTCTGGAGAATGTCGCATATATTAGTCTGGGCCATGTCGCATATATTAGTCTGGGCCATGTCGCATATATTAGTCTGGGCCATTAACTCAGTATTATGCTAGGAAGTCTGAATTAAAACCTACGTCAATGAATGTCTTACATTTGTTCTGTGCTTAAGATGCTGTGCTTAAGATATTGGGTAATTGTAAAGCTTACAAGAAATAGTCAGTTATAATTTTACGCCATTATTCCCTTGCATTCATTTAAATACCTCGAACAGGCCGGTCTGAATAACATTGAATGGATATGAATGAACCTTTTTATTTATTCAGGATGTATGAAGAAAAAACTGCTGGAGTAACACGAACGGAATGTAAATAAAAAGTTTGTAAAATAGAGGATACACAGGCGTTAGGTAACAAGCGTGGATGAAATTAAGATATAATACAATGCAAGATATAATACTGTTGTATTTGAACCATCTTAACGCTTTCTTCTTCGGAGCTCCTCAGGTATGCTAAATGCTATAATGTTCAGGTGATAAATTCCTTATTCATAGCTTTGGTCTGCCGTTCCATCAAAATTATCATCAGCTAAGACCTGCACACTCGCGATCAGGTGGCCACGTTCGAGTGGAAGCCCAGCGTTTTCTACGCCCCTGACGGCGATGGTCGCAGCGTGCCGAGTTATGGCTTGGACGTGCAGGTGGTGAAGCATCCTGCCGCCCTCAACTTCTCGGTCGTGTTCTTGGAGCCTCCTGCAGGTGCGTAGAGTGAGCATTAGGAGTGCAAAGTAGCTTTGCACCACAAAAACGTTACTGCATAACTTATAACTTCCATTCTTCAGTGTTATCATTCACAGCGCTGTCGTACACATCAGTGTACGTCAGTGTTCTCATACACTGCATTGCCGTGCAACTTATATTCGTTAGTGTTGTGACTGTTGTCGTACACAACGCTCATGTATCACTGTATTCACTGACTTGTATGCCACGCTATAATCTTCCTAGAATGCTTGAAGTATCCTTGAGGTCTCTTCTAGAGGTGTACTCTATTGCCCTTAATTGAGTGTACCCACTCAGTCATTCGGCTTTTACTCTAGTGTACTCCGGGAACTTTATGGTACCAATTCTTCCTAACAGACGTACTGAAGTTTGTGTACATTTGCAACACAAACGTCTTTTGATTTTACATAAACAAATTAAACACGTTCCCCCTCAACAAATTAAAGCGTTCCCCTTCTCGGCGTTTCTAAACAAACTGGCTGCTGTTTCCCCGTTCAGGAGAGTTCTGGCGATGGCAGCAGGAGGCAGAGTGGACGGGCATGGAGGGGATGGTGAGCAGCACCCACGCCCACCTCGGGGTTGGCGATCTCTTCCTCGCAGTATTGATAGGAACCATGTCGTGCTCTACAGCGCGCCGTATGATGTTGAGGTATTGCAGCACTGGCGCTATTATGCACGCCGTATGATGATGAGATTTAACAGAAATTATCTTAGGAATCCGTCATGTTAATAAGAGATCGAGCGCAACTGCATAACACGTCCAATCCATGCTGCTCCTCATATTACTGAATGTTTCCAGCAACACATGCCGCACTCATGCAATCACAGTTATCAGACACTTTAGTTTGAGCACACATTTCACGTAATTATGAACCTATTATCTAATATCAACTCAATTATTACCGAAATAATACACGCCTCAGTTCTCCTGCTTCATGGCAAGCACCACTCCGCCGCTGCCACGGTGGAGGAGCCTCACCTTGCCCTTCTCTATAGACCAGGATGGCGGTAGGGCTTGGGTTGCTCTCCCTGAAGTTGGCCCTCATCATCACTACGATGCTCACTCCGCAGACGTGCGTAATAATCATGGGTGCATTCAAGTATTTCATTAAATTACATTTTATACTATATGCCATTATATATAAGACTAGTTATGATGAAATTTGATGGCTGCTTAATTGCATAATATCGAATGCTTCGCAAATTGAGTGCGAGAGGCATTTCTTGTAACTTAGTGTTTGTAGGGTTCGCGCCCGTAGGTTGGGTTAAACGTAATATGAACTAATAATCCCAGGAACGTACATCAAATTATAGAAAAGATGTAAGTCACAATAATATATGCCATTTCGTGAGTGGATGCAAAGCATTGTATGTATAACATCGAGACTAACGACCTCCAGTCGGAGCTGGACAACATAATTACATCTTTCTCTGACGTAGAATACTAGTCCTTCATTACAACACCTTGTTAATTCAGATACGTGCGTTTGTACGAATTCCTAGCGATTAAAAATTACTACAATAAATACAGTTTTATAATTACGCATATATTAGTCTGGGCCATGTCGCATATATTAGTCTGGGCCATGTCGCATATATTAGTCTGGGCCATTCCGCATATATTAGTCTGGGCCATGTCGCATATAGTGGTCTGGGCCATGTCGCATATATTAGTCTGGGCCATGTCGCATATATTAGTCTGGGTCATGTCGCTTATATTAGTCTGGGTCATGTCGCATATATTAGTCTGGGCCATGTCGCATATATTTGTCTGGGCCATGTCGCATATATTAGTCTGGGCTCGTGAACAGTGACTGGACCGTGCCCGGCAGTATTGTGTGAGCCCGGCCTTGATGGGTTCACTTTATTACTTACCAAATTACTGAATTATTGTGCCACTAAATTAAATTATTTCATTCTGTGCCGCAGGCCTGTGTTCAAAGGGGAGCAGGAGGTTAGTGTGTACGAGCTTCATTACCACCCCAACTTCCACAGCACCTTAGGATACGTTGTTATCAAAGTCGCCAACTTGGATAGCGAACAGACGTGCACCGCTGGCGAGGTCATCGGCTGTTGCCCAACTGGCCAGGTGAGATCCTGCAGTGCTTAAAATAATTATTCTTTTGTTATAACTCTACAACTGCTCAGTTAGCTTCTTAAAGAGTGTAACTCGTCAGTGACAAGTGCCCAAGGCATAGGTGTTCCCTTGACTTCTCTTTAAGACGGCCAAATTTTGATGTTGGTATTATCGTGGACGTGGCTCTTCTGGAAGAAACATAGATGTTTGTTGGGAGACTTATTGGGATGACATTTTGGACAAGACTTTTCCGAAAGAAACGTAGATATTTGTCATTGGGAGAATTTTTTTAAAGAACCATGTTAGGTTATTAATTGGGTATAATTATTAGTATATTTATTACTCTCCACAGCGTTACTCAAATAGATCTGTGTCTCCTAAACCGATAACAAATTGAACGAAAATTTGCATTCCTTATATTCTTGGAAGCTGCAATTAGATATAGTAGGACTGTTTACTTGAGGCGAGGCGACAGGTTATAAACATTGACCACTCTCGACTACGTTCATCGTGGGTTATGTGGACAATATATACAAATTATCAAACCATTTGCCGTGATTTTTGACACTCATCATGACCAGCCATCAGTTTTGACACCAACAATGCTGCAGGTGGCCGTGCGTTGGACAGACGGTTCGTCGTCCTCGAGCTTTCCCCAGGACTTGTACTGGTTACACGCGTGGGACCCCGAAAAAATTTTCGTAGAAAACCACCAAGACAAAATCCCGCACATCGGTAACTCATCTAATGAGGACGATGACATCATGCTGCAGGCCGCGGTGCAGGTCATGCTGCAGGCCTCGGTTCAGGTCATGCTGCAGGCCGCAGTGCAGGTCATGCTGCAAGCCGCAGTGCAGGTCATGCTGCATAAGAAACATGTTCCAGGTAAAAGTAACAATGCCAGGCATGTAGCAGGAACCAAATTCTCAGAGTACCATACACATACCTTGTGAGAAACCGACTTTAAGCAAGTCGCTGCCTGCAGGATTCGAACTCCGATCTCTCGCACGCGAAGCAGAGCCTCTACCGTTGAGCCATCTGAGAAAACATGGCAAACGAGTAATTTTAAGATTTAACTGATGTATTGCAAATATTATATATTATATATTATACTATATAGAATATTAATTTCATCAAATAAGAGAAGTTAATACTACCACCGTGATGATTAGATATTTTCAACAATTTTATTTGAACCTGCTACAACATTGGAGTAAACACCCGCTGAAAGAAGCTTCATTTATCCATAACGAACGATGGTTCAGCTCAGGGTAAAGGCTACGGGAAAATACTTGATAAATGTTGAAGTTTCATAATGTCAACATTAAACCAATTTAGACAGCGGTTTGATTATATATATATTCTCACC